TTAATTCCATCCTGATTCTATGAGGTAGGTGCACTATTCCATCCCCATTTTACAGCTGAGGAAACTGAGGCAGCTGATAAGAGGTGGAGCCCAGCTTCCAGCCAGAATCATCTGGTCCCAACACACTTAGTCAAATGAGCAAAAATATGGCGAGGGATGGTGGCGCGTACCTGTAGTCCCAGCCACTCGGGATGCTGAAGCAGGAGGATCACTCAAGCCCAGGAGCTTGAGGTTGCTGTGAGCTATGATGACACCACTGCACTCTAGCCCAGGTGACAGAGCAAGACCCTGTCTCTAAAAAATTGAAATAAAATGAGCAAAAGTATAAAAGCTAAATAGAAAAGGAACACGAGGGGAAAAGTCATAATTAGAAACAAACCCTGAGTGAGCTGATTTTCAGTCCTTCTCCACATGTGATAGCAACTAGAAACCTGAACACAGACCTTGTGTGTCCTGTGGTCCACCAATTGTGCCTGATCCCTGCACGGATCCTCAGGGAGCAGTGCCCAGACACCAGCTAGAAGCAGACAACAGAATTGAGCCTAGACATCCCTCGTGGGCCAGGGCATAGTGGATGTCAAGGGAGCGTTAAACTCCAGGTGTGGTGGTGCAGGTGAGCCAACCTGTGGGGAATGCTCGAAAATCACCTGCACGCTTCACCTGGAATAAACAGCAAGGTGTCGCCCCAGGAAGCCCCTCTGCCAGCCTGTCTACAGGCAGAGGCAGCAGCCGCTGAGTGCAGATGCGTGAGCAGGACGCAAAGGTGGTGGGTGGGCCAGGAGGAGCAGGCCAAGGCGCACACTACAGGCAGCACCGCCCCCCCGCCCTGAGCCCCTGCCCAGCGCCCCTAGTGGCCTCACAGTGTCCCAGGTGTTTGTGAACAGGCGACCTGTGCCTTGGACGGCAGAGGCTGTGTCTCTTTGGTCCCTTATTCCACACCCCCCACCCCACTCTCCTCGTGTGGGTACACGGAAGGCTTTGACAAACGTGACTGAAGGAACCTGGGTCAGAAACAGTCTCCGATCACATTCCTCGTTGCGAAAGGGCGCAGTGGGAGCACTCACAGCACCCAGGCAGGAGGACTCGCTCGATGTGCAACGGCCGGAGCAACCTGATAGCCCCGCACTCAGCCCTGGTGCCGGCACAGCCCTTGCAGCGGTTGCTGCCAGGAAGTCTCCTACCCAGCCGGCTCCCACCTCCGCTCGCAGCGGGCCCAGCATCGGGCCAAGCGATCGCTCACGCTGATGATTGGCTACAGTGCAAAGGGGGTTACAGGTAGAAGGTACCTTTTTCTCCAAAATGACTTCATGTTGAGCCACCCAACTTAATTTTCCCTTTCTCTTCTTTTAGTATTTTATGTTTTTATTGTAAATATTACACTCACAAAAACGGGATATGTACTCTATTTGTGAGATTTAAAGAATAAGAAGCAAGCCGGGCTCAGTGGCTCGTGCCCGTGGTCCCAGCTACTCAGGAGGCAGAGGCAGGAGGAGCCCTTGAGCCCAGGAGTTCGAGACCATCCTGCAAGACACCATCTCAAAAAACTTTGTATCTTTAAGATGGGTATTTTACCCTCAGCTTATAGACCGCAGTAATAGCTCACAATAGTTTAAACTCCATGAGGTCTAAATTTACTAACTCATTTAATCCTCACACTAACCCCACAAAATAGGAGCTTCCACTTCATACGAAAGGAGACCAAGGCACAGAGAGATTAAAGGACTTGTACAAAATCACTGAGTTGGTAAAGGAGGAGCAAGACTCGAATCAAGTCACCTGATGTCAGAACTCTGTGTCCTTAGCCACGACAGTAACCAAAGTTTTCGTGACCAGTATCCCTAGGCTATCCAGCCAGTGAGCCATGGAGCAGGACGGACATTCAAATGGTCCCCTCTCAGTCCAGTCCTCATCCCATCAGCTCCAAAATGCATATTATTCTGTATGGGCAGCTGGTGGACAGCAAAGGGACATGTGAATCCTCTTCCTCAAGTGTTAGTAAATAAAAATATTACAAAGAGATATCTTGTTAGGAAATGTGACCATGTAAATTGAAAAATCCTTTCTCAGAATTAGAATTAATGCCAAAAATATTTATAGGGTCCTAAGAAAATGGATTTGCTGGTCTTTTTTCCCTGCTGAGGACAACAGTCCAGGTCCATCTTTGGCTGTGATAGTTCTACCCCTTCACAGAGCAGCGGTATGGTCACGTGCACCTAACGTGCGAAGAGCAAATCTGTGTGGTAAGTTAGCATAATTTCTATTATAAGAAAGTACATGGAAGGGCCGCCAAAAAAAAAGACAAATCAAAATGTGCTTGGTGACTGTTACTATTATCACCAACAGAGAATAAGCTAAAATAAATGTTCTGCTCATTTTATTTGTGAATGAATTGCCACAATTCTTGCACTATTTAAATTCAGCACATCTTATATTCCATAGTTACTAACCATCCCTCCTTCTTTTCATTATTTCCAGCTCCTTAAACGTATAAAAGGGTAAAAGCCATTTGTTCTGGCAGAAAAGAACTGCCGTAAATCACGCAGAATGAGGTTCTTTAAAGTGAAAGGAACATCGCTCCCCTCCAGGACGGCCCGTGGCATGAGTGTGAAGACGCACACGGCCCGCGAGGGCAGCGCCCTGTGCACACCTGCGGTGTTGGGCCACTTCTGTGGGGAACTCAGTCCTCCTCAGATGACAGAAACGCTTTAGCGGCAATGAGCCAAAGACAAACTCTTCCACTGTTTACATTAACACATCGAGTGGAACCATCCATGTGCCGTTCACGAGAACTTCCTTTCCCAGAAGTGACAGCTGGGCTCCTCAGCACACAGCCAGAAGCTTCCAGAAGCTTCTTAGCACACAAAATTTACCTCGTAAATTCCCGAATCAGACATTTTAATGAAACAGTGGAAGAAAATTTATTTTCTCAACACCACTGTCAAGAATTCAAACTTCATATACAAAAAGAAAAAAGAAGATCAGGAAAAATTATTCAAATTCCAACAGGTGGAATATTGATAGGCTTATAAAGGAAATAAACATCTTTACTGTAACTCTCTCTGCCTTACAGCCAACACCAGCTATTAGTAACTGCAACTCTGTATTGCCAGGTCATCTTTCCAAGCACACACAGGCAATCTGAGCTGAAATTTATTTTTAAAATCTCTCAGAGTTACCACTTCTCAAAATTATCCTTCACTTTACATGTACATCAGCCAGTCTGAAGATAATAAGATAGATCAGAGCTGAAAACACAGTTCATTCCTGAGATCAAGTACAGAACACTTCCACCAACGCACATTTTCAAAGACTCCTGTCTCTCGGGTTTTTATAAGACCGAGCTTTATGAATTAACTTTTAAAAACACACAATAATTTCTTGCTGATTCATCTTTTCCTTCTGGTTGGTGAGGGGGAGATGCCAGTGAAGTGAATTTCCATTGTTGGCACTCATGTTCTGTGCTATAGAACACTTCCTCGTGTCATCTTTGCATCATGCAGCTTCATGGTCAACAGACATTAAAGAGAAAAACGTCTTTGCCTCACCTTCTATGCGAGGCACAGACACACTCATCAAATATGCCCCAAATATTTGTGAAGAAAGCTTATCACACTCCCAGGAGATTTCCCACTTGCATTTTTGTAAACATAATTATTATACCCCAATAAAATATCACATAGAAATCAAATGACAGTGTCCCCCTAAGGATCTGTTCCTCTGTGTCCCTGGGCAAAACTTAGAATCCTCAAGGTCCCGAATTATCCTGATTTCTGAAACTAAGGAGCACCCACAAAGCTCAAGGAAAGCACTGAAACTCTTATCACTTCTAATTCCACTTCCAAAGAAATCAAACGTGCTTGAGCGTGGCTTGCACGTGGTCCACAACACCTTCCCAAACGTATCATTTTGAACGTGCACGTGTCTACGTACGTGCGGGATTCTGGAAGGCATTTTATGTTTTAGTCAGAAAAAGAAAGGTTAAATTTTCAATACCATAAACTCTCCTTTCCATTATAAGCCACTTTCCATTTTCAATAAATGTTGTAGGCAAAGAATATAAATTAGTAAAACGGACGAGGCCACTTAGGGAAAACGAATTTATATGGGGAGAGTGAATAACTGGCCACGTAGTCAATTATTCTGACCGGTATAGACACAGCTGAACCAAATGGCACAGGTGTAGATGGTCTATTTGGATCAGGGAGCTCATGACCCAATTTATTCCATAGCCTTTATTTGTGTGAAGTATATTGAAACCATCACTTCATTTCCTCCCTGCAGCTATAACCCACATGTATGTTGAGTATTATATTGAAGTAAATGGAGCAGATTCCTCTCTGGGACTTGCCGTGGCATGAGTTTCACTTCCTCACTCTCTCACTCCAGGGCGCAGGAAGTGTGGGTCAGAGGGTCGTTGGGGCAGGTGTGAGGTGCCCATCAGCCCAGAGGAAACAACATGGGAGCCCTGGAAATCCAACCATGGACCCTCTTGTCTCCTCCTAGGTAAGCCCAGGAGAGTGCAAAGGAGATGGAATTCAAACACAAGTTGGAAGAATTTGGATGTGATTTTATATATTAACTCAGGGGTCGGCAAACTTTTTCCATGAAGGTCCCGACAGTAAATATTTTCAGCTTGAGGCCACATGGCCTTTGTCACAACTACTCAACTCTGCTGTCACAGAGTGGGAGCAGCCATGGATGATATGTAAATGAATGAGTGTGGCTGCGTTCCAACAAAGCTTTCTTTATGGACACTGAAGTTTAAATTTCATATAATTTACACGTGTCATGAAATATCCTTTTGAGCATTTTTAAAACCACTTCAAAATGTGAAATCCATCTTCTTAGGTCCTGGGCTGTACAAAATCAGGTGGTGGGCTGGAACTGGCCCACGGCCTTCGCTGGCCAACCCTGGCACGAACTGACATGTGGGCCGCCACCCACGAAAGTCCAGCCACAGAGGAAGCCAGGGTTGGCTCCCCTGCCAAGGTGGGACTTACCTTGATATGAGCTGCTGGGTCCGGGACAGTCTGAATCATGTCCTTCAGTAAGCCAGCTCATTCACCAGCCGTGCAGAACCAGAGACAGCTAGGAGACAAAAAGAGGCAACACAGATAGTAGTAAACAACCACGTTTCCACGTTTTATTTTCCAGTAGGACTGAACACAATACGCCAATGGTGTTGCATTAAAACGTTTGCCCCAAAGCGTCCTGTAGGTATGGGTAGTACATGAGGCGAAGAGAAAACTCACTTCTCTTCCATTGGAAATTCACTTCCTTTTAGCCCCAAGAGAACCCAGTCTCATACCCAGAGGACTCCGGCCCAGACCTTGTGTCCAGCTGACTCAGGTCACATCCTTACACGGGCAGCATGAGTGGTCCTCTAAAACAAGACATATTTGCTATTGTATTGACAAAACTGGATTTTGGATGTTTTCATCAAAACTAATGCCATCTACACATCTTTTAAAGCTTTGTTATTAAGTTCTTAATAAAAAGCACAGCTACCGTTCATTGAGTACTTAAATGCTAAATACTAAGTGCCTGGGCTAAGGGCTCCAGATGCATTTTGTCATTTAGTTTCACCCCTAACTCTAAGATTAGCAATCCCATTGTCCAAATGACAACGCCAAGACTCAAGGAGGTTATCGATTTGTCCGGTATCACCTCGCTAATGAGCAACTAAACCAAGATTCAACTCAGATCAGCCTGTCTCCAAGGCCCAAAAGAAATTTCGATTTCACATATTTAAATGGATATCAGCCCATATTTTGAAAAGATATTTTTAAACATGGCTTTAATGAATTAAATTTAAAGGTGCCCATACTCCAGGGATTTTCCAGAAATGTATACTTCACTCAATATATTCCTTTGTTCACATTATAAAGCAGCGTGTTCTGGCCACGGTCCGTATACTTCTCCCCGTCCGTAGAGCCCCTCTCCACCTCCCTGCCCCCGGGGCTGACGGCCACAGATGGCCACAGCAGGGCTCCTTTGCCTTCCGGCCACCTCTCAGGTTTGCTTGTTGTGGCCCTAATGGAGACCAGGGGGTAGGAGGATAGAAAGATTGGGGTATCACTTCCCCTCCCCTTCCTTCCACTGACACCTGCCACCCTTGGGGATGGGCCACGGTTCTGGCCACCGCTGGATTCTAGGGTGACTTCTCCTACCACGGGTCCCTCCTCCCAGCTCCAGCCTTCAGTAACTGTTTCCCACCCAGCTGTTGGTGCCTGAAAATCTCAGTCAAGCCCTCAGTTGTTTGCCGTCACTAAAAATACCTTCTCTAATTTATATTTTTAGGTGATATCATTTATTTTTTATCAATTGTCTCTTTTTTGTTTTCCTTTTTATACAATAAATCTAGCCTATGGCTCTTAGCAGTAATAAACCTCACAATAAAAATAAACAGCATGATTACAGCACTAGAGACACAAAAGCTGCCTTCCAAATTTGTGGCTGGACACATATTGCAGGGATCGGCTGAGGCCCTCACAGGGATCCCAGCCACAATCGTATCCACCCTCTCCGCCCCACTCCATTCAGACGCGCCCACTGCCAGCCACTCTCAGGGGAGTGCTCACCTCCAGCTCTGTGTGCTGCGAGTCTGTCCTCCCAAAAGGGCTCCCTGGAGTCCTCCCGAAATTGGGGGGAGTCTGGCTGGCCAAGAAGATGACATGCTTGGAAACTCAGGCATTATTTTTTACTATAGCCAAATTTCTCGGTCTTGGAAAATGTGCAATTTTTTTCTCTAGGTTGAAAGCAAGTCCCCTTTGGGGATAATAGCAGCCAAAAAGGCAAAGGGAATGAAGCACTATCTTGAAATTGAAGCTGGCAGCAGTCGAAGGTAACCCATGCTCTTGGTGTTCCCATGGGAGTGCAGACCGGGGGAGGACAGGGCCTGGCTGAAGGTCTCCGGGAGCACAGGCATCCTCACCTCCCCCTCCCCTGCAAGGGCAGCAGGTGCTCCGGAAAACACCGCTCTGCTCCCCGGCTCATTCGGCCTCGAAGGGGAGCATCCTTGAGCCCTCGGCAGAAGCGTGGCTTCCCGCCGCACGACCCCCACTCGGGGGCACGTACTGTTGCTCCTCCACGCTCGGCCTCTCTCCGGGCCAGCTCACCCCGCACGATTCCTCCCTCCCTGCACACACATGCTGCCGCCCACCTCACACCTGGGCTGACCCCGGCTGCCTCTGACCTAGACAACACGGCGGAGTCCCAGGCCCACGCCTTACCAGAACCGGAAGCTTCCCTTCCTGCCTCTCGGAACCCAGACCCCACGCCCCGAGCAGCACATCAACACGGCAGAGGACCGAGGTGCCCGGCTGGCTGGCAGCCCCAACGCCAGGCTGGTGAGGGAGCTGTTGTTTGTGGATGGTCCAGAAGGCGAGTTCTCAGGTGACCTCGGCCCCCGCTGACACCAGGAAAGCACAGCTGTCCAGCTGAGCACAGTCAGTCCACACGATCATGACAAACAATTGACAGTGGTTGTTTAAAGCCACCAGATTTGGGGGTGATTTATTACACATATAGGTAATTAAAACATCCTGTTAAGTACTCTAGATACACGGAGAAGACAGACGGTAAATAGCTTGTGTTTTACTGTCGCAATGATGGCTCCAATTCTCCACTCCTCTCTGCACCCACGCTTCTCAGCACGTGACATTGTGGTTCCTCCCGCTGAAGCATTAGAATTACTGTCCCAACTCTTGTTTTGAGGCTGCCCATATGACCTGTTTCAGCCAAGAGAACATAGCAGCAGCAGGACAGAGTGCCAGTTCCCGGCTAGAGTCTCACAGGGCATGATGTGTTCCCATCTGCTTTCTTGCACCCTTCCTCCAGCGCGGGAACATGCCCTGACTCACATGTCGGAGGATGAGAAGCACACGGGACAGAGCCGAGTCACTCCAGACACCCAGCCAAGACCACCCTCCGTCATCTCATAGACAACCACAGCCCGGACACAGGAGGGAGGCAGACAGATCAGAAACGCCCAGCCAAGGCCAACCTGAGTGGCCAAAACACAGGCTCATGGCTAAGTAAGCACGTGCTGCGTTAAGCCACCAAGATTCGGGGTAGTTCATTACATAGCCTTTTTTGTGACTTTGCCCTGAATAATCAGGTTACCAAGATCTCCCTTAAAACTTTTCTAGCCAGAGATAAAGAAAACTCAAACAGGGATTCCAAAGGAAACTAACTTCACTCCAACACACAGACATACTATTTCCATTCAGTGAAGAGACATGATCTCAAACCCTAATCCTACCCTCCACATGAGTTTGGGAACTGAAGGATAACCAAGAAACCTCTCCTGGAAGGCGCCATGGGATTCTCAGAGCCCTTCCCAGGAACAACTGAAGTCTTGCTGCACACCATGCTCCGCCAGCTTTCTGGGGATTCTGAATACCGGGAAATGGGAGCAATGTTCTGGATATCTGAGACCGCAGAAACATCACTCATCTGTAACCAATCGAGACACAAACTGAATCCACCACTGTCTGTGCCTCATGTTTCTTTTGGGGAAGTTTTGGGTACTGTCAATGCATCAAGGATAAAATGACAGGGACGGGAATATATAGATTCCGGTGCAACACAGTCCCGATCCCCGCAGGATTGAGATGGAGAAACAGCTCACACAGACACAAAGCGCTCAGTCCTGAGAGCAGGTGGCTGGTGCAAGTGCCAGAGGAGGAGTGTGGACAACACCTGGAGGAGGGACAGAGCCGACCAACACAGAGAGAAGAGGAGGTGCCACCAAGGAGCCTTGATGAGCACAGGGTGTGAGGACTGGAAGGAAGACAGGGAAACAAGGGACAAAAACTCCTCCAGCTGCCCCACATTAGACACCAAGGGTATACAAGACCCTTAGCCCACCACGACCAAGGCTGTCATCAACCAGAGGGGGTCACCAAGTGTTCAGTGCAATGGCACTGCCATCCCCCAGCCCACACCAGTGAGAGATCAAAGACCTAAAGACCAGGAGGATGACAGGCAACCAGCTTTCCCAAGTCTCCTCAATCCACAAATATCCTTGACCCTTTTGCAGTCATTTGGAGGCCTGTTCTTTCTTTTTATCATTTGGGAGGTATTTTATGGATTTTTAAGGAACTCTTCTAACTTACTTTTGTGTTTCTAATAATCACATCTCAAATATTTAGTAACTGGTGAATGATGTGATGGTTTTATGTCACTGTGGGAGCCTTTTTATTTTCCATTTTATCTGCCCTGGAACTCTTGCAGAACTTGAATCTATGTTGTCTAAAAACACTTGTTTTAATATTTGTTTCTTGCAATACATTCACTTGGTCATGTATATGCTTATGATTTTGCATTTCATGATCCAGCATCATTTAATTACTGGATATCTTGAAAAATAAAAAGCCTTGATATTCGACAGAATTCTTTTCTCCCTTCTTTGTTTTTGTTTTCAAAATGTCAATTTCTTACTAACTAGAAACAAACTTGATCTGGGTTACCTTCACTAGAACTGCATAAAGTATGGACCAGTAGGTACATAGGGCCAAAAGGAAAATAAGCATTTTGTAATTAAGGAGGGAGGACTGCAAAAGGGCTAAGAGAAGACCTGAATATTTGCAGAGCTGGTGCAAGAAAACTGATGGAGGACTGTGACACCCAGCCCCTACCCCTCTTCTCTTCCCAACACCAGTTCTGTCCTGTGTGCCAGGGGCCTCCTGAATAGTCATGCAGACATCCAGGTCCGCATGGTCACACTCCATCCAACAGGACTCCCTGGTCGTCCTTCAGACCCAGGGACACACACCCAGGATCTGCCCAACAAGATGGACTCCAGCAAAGAGGCTGATGTAGGTCTGAAAGATGCTCAGGCCAGTCTGGGCAGAGGCTCCAGGTTCCCAGCGCCCAGTCGTGGTCTGGAATAGCAGGTGGGCACAGTCAGAGAGGGCAAGGGTGGGCCCTCCAAGGCATGGGGCAGGGCTCCAGTCCGGGGGACATGAGCACAGAGGCAGAGTCAGATGTAGGATGGAAACCAGATCTGCCATCTTCCTCCTTGGAAACGTAGAAACAGTCACTTTGTCCTCTAAGAGCCTCAGTTATACAATTGCATAGTGGGGATAATATTACTGTAATGTAACAAGAAAGATATTTGGTCTTTGCCTCCAGTTCCTGGCACAGAGCTCCTAAAACCCTTGGTATTTCCGGAGTGACAGGAGCATCTTTTGTTCTAATGAGGTGATTCTCAGTGGGCCCCTAGAGAGTTTCAGGATGGGGACCAGGTACCAGAAAGACCAAGTCTTGATTAGACACTGGAACTTTCAGCCTTACCCCCTCCTCTTGGGAGGGGAGAGGGGCTAGAAATTGAGTTAATCACGAATGGCCAATGAGCTCATCAATCATGCCTATGTAATGAGCCCCCATCAAAACCCCTAACCATGGGGTTTGGGGAGCTGGGTTGGTGAACAGATTGATGTGCCAGGAGGGTGGTGCACCCCAACACTACAGGGAGAGAGGCTGCTACACTTGGGACCCTTCCAGATCTCACTCTATGTACCTTTTCGTTGAGCTTTTCATTTGTATTCTTTATAATAAACTATAATAGTAAGTATAGTGCTTTCCTGAGTTCTATGAGTTATTTTAGCAAATTGTTGAACTTGAAGGGAAAGGGGCTATGGGAACCCCCCAACTCTGTAGCCAAGCTGGACCCAATACTTGCAACTGGCATCTGAAGTGAGGACAGTCTTAGGAAACTGAACCCTTCAACCTATGGAGTTCGATGCTAACTTTGGGTAGTTAGTGTTAGAATCAAATTGAACTGTCGGACACCCGGTTGGTATCAGAGTGTTGAATAATTGGTTGGTGTTGGCAAAGACATCACATATTTGGTGTCAGGAGAAAAATATAATAACTACCAAATGCTGTTCAGCAGTGCACACCAGTGTGAATGCGAGATCTGGCCAGTGTCTATCTAACTGATTAGTGTGTGGGTTGAACCATTGTTTGGCTGTCTCCTGTTTATCCCAGCAGGCTTTTGTATGGAATAAATTGAATTATGCCTAAGAAACTTCCCACAATGCTAGGCACCTGGTAAGCACTTAACAAGTGGTAATCATTATTACTAAGAAAGCAAAAATACTCCAAGCAGATGATTTTTGATGCTGTATAAAATGTTGCTTTGAGAAAAATAATTATCAATTAATAAATTGCTAATTTACATAAAGACCCTTTGTCAACTGACTAAAAACAACCTTAATTTTAAAAATGAATGTTTAGCTTTAAGCTAATGAGTCATTAAGTGAAAACATTTTAGGCAAAATGGCTCTAAGCAATTTTGGATGCATGGTAATGAATCCCATCACTGAATGAGCGGGTCGTTAGGTGCACTTGTTCTGGATGAGTGGACATTAGGTGCATGAGTTTGTCACCAGCAAACCCTACCAGGAGACCTGCACAGGCCTGACTCCTGCCCCTTGCTGGGGCTGTGGTGTCCCTTGCAGAGCAGGAGGTGGGGAGGCAGGGGACACCCAGGGCCCATGCTTTAAGGAAGTACTCCCTCTCAGGCTCAGGCAGGTGCAGGAACAGCACCTGGGAGCGAGCACCACCTTAAATTCTGCACCCCATTTGCCTACCCTAGTCCCTGTCTGGCTCCTGCACTCCAGAGATAAGCAGGGAAGACCAGTGTGGGGTGGGAGAAAGTATGAGAAACTGAATGCACCTTAACGTTTATCTAAAAATAGGAAGTTGAACTTCCTCAGTAGGATGTGGCTCATCTTTCCAAATTTCCCCATCACCCCTAATTCATATGTTGGGGTTCTAACCCACAGTTCCTAAGGATGTGACTGTATTTGGAGACAGGATATTTACAGAGGCAATGACATTAAAGTGAGGTCTTGTGGTCCCTGATCCAACATGACTGGTGTCCTCGTGGAAAGGGAGGATTCAGAGACAGACCTGTGTAGAGGGAAGATGATGAGAAGATACAGGGAGAAGACGCCGTCCACAAGGCAAAGAGACACGTGAAACAGATTCTCCCCCGCAACCCTCAGAAACAACTACTCCTGCTGGTGCCTTGACCTTGGACTTCCAGCCTCCAGAACTGTGAGCCAATAAATTTCTACTGTTTTAAGCCACCCAGTTTGTGGCACTTTGTTACAACAGTGATAGGAGACGAATACACCTCTGTCAAGGGACTTGCTAAAATATTGTAACTGATGAATCTTAGAGGCCCCTGCTGGGGGGCTGGCGGGGACAGTGAGTGACAGCCTCACAAACCACGTCCATTTTGACTGCACCACTTCCTACGGGACACTGACCTGTTCGAGGCACGTCCCAGGCACCATCACTGTTTTCCCATCTACTACTCACTCCGGGCTTAATTTTGGCAAAGAGAGGCTCTTCCATTCCGTGGCCTAAATGAGTGTCATACGGGCCCCACCATAACAGGAACACTTGCAATGCTTCTCCGTGGGGAGCCCAGCAGCCTGGGCGCCACGGGGCTCACTTTGGAGACAGCTCGCTGACCTGCTCCGACAGGAGAATGTTTCACGAACACAGAGACGCGTTCCCCGTGTGTGCTGCTTGAAACGAGCTGTCGATTGCCTTGGGGTAAAACAGCTATAACGTGATTATAAACCCGATTCAACGGTACGACAGAAAATAGAGATATTGTAAATGCACAGGTCTGTAGATGCTGACCCTGTGGTTTTTCTGGAAGAGGTGGAAAAGAGTAGAAGATGGCAGAGAAAAGAGAATGAAGACTGCAGTACTGACGGAGCAGTCAGTAAAAGCTCTGCAGTGCTGGGGACAGTGACAGGCGTCAGAATTCCTGCCAGTGTAGCACAGGGGACCACAAACATCAAATATTAAAGATACAAAATATTTACATATTCACATTTTTTTAAAAAGTCTGGACTGGAGGGGTAGGATTTGGGGGGAGGGGTGTCTGTTTTACCTCTAATTGCCCTTGGTTCCACCATCGTTTTTCTCTGCGAGTCATTTGTCTTGCTTTCGGTCAGCACGGCTTTCCTCGGGTCTCCGAAGGTCCTGGAACAACCTGAACAAAAATGTAAGAATATCAAACCTTATTTCTTTTCCAAATATTAATGCCCAGGATCAACTGTGCATGTAGTGACAAAGCCTGTTTCTTAACCATTATTTTAAAATATCCTAAAAGGGGAACGAGCTTAAAATCCTTCCCTTTAAAAAGAAGAGGGGGCGACATTCCAGTCCTCTGAGGGAAGCCCAGCATTATGAAGCAAAAATTAGCAAGCAATGAAGGCCAAGCCTGCACTGGCACACCAAAGCACACGTACACTTTTGCAAAGAAAATATTTTGAAAATGTTTTCTTTTCCCTCACAGCCCCCAGCTTTAGTAATAATGGTTTTCCCAGATCATTCTTTTAGTGCTTTTATCTGCTCAAAACAGAGTAGCAGGGTTTATAGAATTTCCTAACAATTGTAATCAAACAATTGTTTTAGTCCAATAACAGAAAACAACCCTTTTAATTGATAAATGCTAGGAGGATGAGTACTTTTAAAAGATTAGAACACTACCAAACTAAAAAGATAAAAAGAAAAAATCTTTCTTAGAATATGCCAGTCGGCACAATCTCAGTCTCTCTCTTTCTCTCTCTCTCTCTCCCTCTCTCAGAGATATAGGGATTTCTGTACTGATGCAACTTTCCAAGTAAAATATTCAATCCCAAAATATATTTAATAGAAGCCTCACAACATGACAAATTGCAAATGGCATCTGTTTCCGTTGAAAACATTTTCAAATTAGAAAATATCTTAAGTGTTGCATCAAAATCAATATTTGGGATGGGAAAACTATTTATAAATGGTTCCACAGTCCAGCTGACACTACACTCAGGAGGCCCCTGGCCAACTCCATCCTGTGCATAGAAACATTTAATCCAAATAGCCCAAATGTCACAGCAAAGGATTTGCCATGATTTTATAGAAAATACAACATAACATTCTTGGGGAAAAAAATCAGGATACAAACTCACATATATGATATGATCCCAATATGGCAAAAAGAAAAAAAAAATAACTGGATAAAAGAAAAGAGGGAAAGTAGGAAAGGAAGGAGGACCACTTGAAGGAAGTCGTCAAAACACTAACAGACATTGGCTTTGGGTTTCCCACGGGAGTTACGAGGGGTTCTTATTTTCTTCTTTTCTAAAATCCTTTTTTAAAATGCATTTTTAAACCGACAAATAAAATGATAAATATTTATCGTGTACAACACGACGTTTTGAAATATGTATACATTGTGGATTGGCTAAATTGAGCTAATTAACATATGCATAGCCTCCCATAACATTTTTCTGTGGTGAGAACACTTAAAGTCTACTGTTTTAGCAATTTTCAATACAACACACTGCAATTAGCTATAGTCCCCGTGTGGTACAATAGATCTCTTGAACTTATTCCTCTTGTCTAACTGAGATTTTGTCTCCTTTCACCACCTCCCCAATACCCCCCACCATATGCAACAACACTAATGACCAGGAAAATGCAAATGAAACCACAATATCACTTCACACCTGTTAGAATGGCTATTATCAAAAAGATGAAAAGTAAGTGTTGGTGAGGATGTGGAGGAAAGGGAACCCTTGCACACTTGGTGGGAGTGTAAATTAGTGCAGTCATTATGGAAAATAGTATGGAGAGTCCTCCAAAAATTAAAAATAGAACTCCCATGTGATCCAACAATCCACTTGTGGGTACATATCCAAAGGAAATGAAACGAGTGGGTCGAAGGGGTATCTGCACTCCCAGGCACAAGGCAGCATTACTAACAGTAGACGAGATAGGGAAGTGCCCACCCAGGGATCAACGAACACAGAAAACGTGGTCTATACACCCAGTGGAATAGTATTCAGCCTTGAAAAGGGGGAAATGCTGTCACCTGTGACAACTTGGATGAGCCTGGAGAACGTTATGGGAGCCAGGCACAGAAAGACAAACACTGCGTGACCTCGCTTATTCATAGAATCTGAAAAAGCTGAGCTCTCATTTTCTTTATAGTTTTGTGTATCTTCCAAATTTCCAAATATAAAGAATATTCATCTTTATAATCAGGAAAAAAACTGAGGAATAAACATTTTATAATCCTAAACATATTTTTAAAGTATTTTCTTCACTGTAACATGTTACTTTCACCATCTGGCCGCAGAGAGGAGGGCGGGACACCGGTGTTCAGTGGCTCGATATTCAACAGGAGAAGGGAGGATAACAGTGAATCAGATCACACTTTGCAAGGCTGCACGGATTCCGAGGTAAAGAAGGTGTTTCCAAATTTCGTCTCTCTAAATCCAAAAGCCAATATTGATTATTGCTTGGTTAACTGCTTTCCATGGACGAGTGATTAAAATAGCCTTTGGTTTCCAATTGCTGCGAGGGGAATATGAATTTTAAAAGCATGAGCTAAGATTTCCTATATTCTGCTATCCTATGGTATATTTTTGTGCCAAAACCTCTAATAGGCTGAAAGAAAAATTTGATTTATGTTTGAGACATTGTTGGGCCTGATTTAAAGCCCAGAGTAAAGCCCAGAGAGGATTCTATTAAATGTGTGCAATGGATATTGTAAAATTAGCATTACAGCATTATTAATATTTCATTTATCCTCAGGGCATTTGTCTGACAACGTAAATTATCCATAGCAGAGCTGAGAAGCCACAAAGGATCCAAAAAGATGTCACAACGTCCAGGGAGAGAAGTTTTTCCAGAGAAAGGCATGCTACCAGCCACGTGAGGTAACAGCTGGCCGAATCCAAGCAAAAAAGTCAGAAAATCATGCAAACCAGACTCAAGAACTCCAAAGACACAACCGTTTGAGAACCCTGGGATGAGTGCAAACTGCTCTACCCAGCTCAGCAGCCCCTGGTCCGGAAAGCGGAGGTCCAGGAGTTCCATGACCTACACGGGGACCCCGAGGCCTGCCACTGGCCACAGGGACAAACCACATCACCCCGGGACTCAGTTAGGCTCTGCTTTCTGTGTTGTGAGAGGTAGAAGAGTAACATGATCACCAGGAAATCCCCGCTGGAATGGTCAAAGGCAAATGGGCCTGAGTCCCTGCAGGGTGGACTTCATTTGCCAAAGAAGCCAAGGTGTGGCAGAAAGAATCCTGCACTCAGAGCCCCAAGTCTGTGCTGACCCACTAGCAGCCAGAAAAACTCTCTCAGCCTTGGTCTGCTCATCTGAAAACTGCAGGTAATAGGGCCTGATTTGCAGAGAGGTGGTACACGTCCAACAAGACAGCATTTGTGACCGTGCCAAGTGGGCAGATGCAAGGCATTGTTAAATTCAGGGACAGGTGACCTCCTTCCTTGGTCCCCAAAAACACTGACGAGAGAGCTACTCTCTGCACAGATCTTCCTGGCCACCATGCATCAACAACAGTGAAAATTTCATAAGCAGAAGTTGGCTATTTCCCTGCTGTTTCTAAAAATCATATTAGTTCCCTTGAATAAGACTTAGCAAATAATACCTGGAGTATTGCATTCAGTTTTGGATGATCCATTTTATAAAAAATGTTGGCAAACTAAAGTGCATTCAAAGGTGGGAAAAGGGAAAGGTTCCAGAGCCTGGGACTTAAAGAGTATCTACAGAAACAGGCTGAGGAGGACTGGGGAAGGGTAGTATAGCATGGACAAGAAAAGACTAAGAGGAAAGAATCAGCTCTTTTAAAATATTTGAGAGACCCTTGTAGCAGAATAAATATACTTTGTTCATGCTTTTATAGGCCTGGTTTCAGAAGGCAGAACCAGGACCACTGAATTAAAGTTGTTACTGAATGAGAAATAGATTTCAGGTATGTAGAATATGAAAAAGGCCTTACTATTTTTTCTGAGAAAATTTATTGATACATAATGCATGTACAATAAACTTCATCTATTTAAAAGATGAAAAAAAAAAAGAAGTTGGCACTGGGAAGAAAGCTAGATGTGCAGAGAAGCTGCCACCAGGGCCAGGAGTAGCCTGGACCTCGGCTGAGCAACAGCAGCCTGGCGAGAAGCCTCCACTCCCTCCAGCAGTGACCATCCCCACATGCCACATGGCCATGGCGAACACAGTCATGGAGCAGCCAGGTTTTCTTCATGTATAGCCCCATACGGGTGGCAAGGGCAGCAGACACCGGCTGCCCCTTCTCCCTTCTAGGAGGAACTAGAATTTTGCCTGTATGTGAACCGCCCCCCGCCCCACGTGACCCAAGGAAGGTGCCACTGCCCCAACTCCAGGGCAAATCCTCTCACTGAGCACCCTTTCCTCTTGCCACTGATAGGTTTAGGGAAGGGCCCGTGATATAATTCTGGCCAACTCAATTCGGAGGGAAGTGACTGAAGGACTTCTAGGAAAAGTCTTGGCTGATGAAGAGAGGTCACACAGTATCAGTCCTGTCTGTGTGACACTTGGAGTGGTGGCCACCATCTCAGGACCCTACGAGTAGGCCACGTGAGGATAAGACTGATATGCTGTGGATAACTGGGGAAAAATGAAGGAAATCCCTGGGTTTCTACTTAGGGTGGAGAAGCGTCGAATTAACCAACTCTGAAGGCAGCTCCCGTCGGGACTTCCTGTCATCTCAAATTCATTTTCCTTGTTAACTGAACCATTCTGAATTTCTTGTCGTTGTCACTGGCCGCAAAAGTACCCCAACCACTGTAGTATCTGTGTTCAAAAGAGTCACTTTCAGCTCTGTTGCCATTTGTATCATACCCAAACGGACACGCTGAATATGTTCTTCAGTTCTCATTTTAAAATAAAATGATCTACTGAAAATTAGCCCAGTGCATACATCTCCCCAACTACAACTCTACATCTAAGATTTAGGAAATAAACAACGTCGTCATGGTAAGTGACCTATCTCAATCTACCTGCATGTTGAGTGTCCTGGCATTGGAGGTGACACGGAACCTCCCCGCGATAAACAAAGGGCATGGTGTGGCATCATACTTCAGTTAAATTACTGACGGGAGGCAGAACGTGGCGAGGGGCACAGGAAGGTACGAAAGAGGCCGCAATCGCCCAGCGCCATGG